GGGGGGCGCGGGGGGCGGAGGGGCGGGGCCGCCGCGCGCGTGGCTGGGGCGCTCGGTTTCCTGCCGGGCCGCATCGGGACCGAGCGGGCGGGGCCTCCACGCCACCCTGAGCAGCAGCAACAGCAGCAGCAGCCGCCGCCGCCGCCGTCACCGCTTCCCTTCCTCCCCCTGCTCCTCCTCCTCCTCCTCCTCGAGCTGTTGAGGCGCAGGTCTTGCCTGGCGAAAGCGTCTCCAAGCTCCCGTCGCGGCTGGCCTCGTCCTGACTGGGTGCTGGGGCGCAGGGAAAGGCGAGAGAGCATCTTGTCCTATTCCGCCGCTAGCCGCCTTCTTTCCTCCTTCCTCAGTGCCTCTGCTCCTGTCGTGGCCGCCGCTTCCCGAGTGCTTTCTCCGACTCATCTCCAGCAAAGAAAGGAAGCCTCCTTTCCGTCGGGGGACGGCGGCTTCTTCGCTCCGTCCCTCCCTCCCTCCTCTTGCCTGTCTTTTTTTTTTTTTTCTCCCCTTCCTTTCTGAGGGTGGGAGGGGAGAAGAATAGGAGCCCGGCGAAGGAAGCCAGCCGCGCGCAGCCCGCCCGCCCTGGGTGTGCGTGAAAGAGCCATGCGAGAATACAAAGTGGTCGTGCTTGGCTCTGGCGGGGTGGGCAAATCCGCTCTCACCGTCCAGTTCGTGACTGGCTCCTTCATCGAGAAGTACGACCCTACCATCGAGGACTTCTATCGCAAGGAGATCGAGGTAGATTCCTCGCCCTCGGTCCTGGAGATCCTGGACACGGCCGGCACCGAGCAGTTCGCCTCCATGCGGGACTTGTACATCAAGAACGGGCAGGGCTTCATTCTGGTCTACAGCCTGGTGAACCAGCAAAGCTTTCAGGACATCAAGCCCATGAGGGATCAGATCATTCGGGTCAAGAGGTACGAGAAGGTGCCCATGATCCTAGTGGGCAACAAGGTGGACCTGGAAGGCGAGCGGGAGGTCTCGTTCGGGGAAGGCAAAGCTCTGGCGGAGGAGTGGAACTGCCCCTTTATGGAAACTTCAGCCAAAAACAAAGCCTCGGTGGACGAGCTCTTTGCCGAGATCGTCCGGCAGATGAACTATGCTTCCCAACCGAACGGGGACGATCAGTGCTGCTCTTCCTGTGTGATCCTCTGAGAAAAAGGGAGGGTGGGGGAAGAGCACAGCAGCGTTGCTTTATGTGGTGTTTTTTTTTTCCCCCTTTCTTTCTTTTCTTTACATTTTGAAATAAAAAGGTTTACAGCAACAGCACCACACGAAAAGGTGGCGGCAGCTGGAGCAGCAGTGTTGTCATCCCATGAAACTCCAAGCCTTTCAAACAAATTTTGCATTACGCCCGGATCCCTTCCGGATCCCTTCCAGGTTATAGTTTATACTCATGCTGCTGCGGGTGGTTGTCGGTGTCATGAGTATGCATTGTCTCTCCTTAACATCTGATCCCTCCCAAGGAGAAGAAAAAGAAAAACATACAAAAAAAATCTCTCTTTGGAAATGTGACGCTTTCCGCATGTACATGCCAGCGGTTTGATTGTTGCTTATTTCTTGTACTTGCCTCGGTTCGGAGGATTGTATTGGCCATTGATAACCCGTAGGAAAAGTTCCTGTGTTCTTTGCAGCAGGGGAGTGAGTGAGCTAAGAATTGCTTTATAACTGGAAGATTAAATACCCATAGACACACCTATAAGAAATGAAGGGAAGCATCAAAGGAAGGAAGTACGCGTGGCGGAGATTCAAATCTTCCACTTGTCAGCCTGAAATTAGCTAGTGGCTAGGTGGCTTTCTGATTTTGAGGATTTCTATGCAAAGTTGGAATATTTGTTACCATGCTTATCTCAACCGAAGAAGTATTGCACAAGTACTGCCTGGGACTTTAATAACACTGATGCCAATACAGCGCATGAGGTGCCACAAAAATATCTGCTGATTACTTGTGAAATCTATTTTGTTTACTTGTTGTATTGAAAGGGAAGGAATGAAGAGCATTTATTTGTGTTTTTTTTTTTAAAAAAAATCAGCTATGAAAACACTAACAGACTTGCACAGTTTTTAAGTTGTGTGTATTTTGTGGAATGGCTGGGGAGAGACAGGGCAGGCAAAGTAATAACTTGCCTTATTCAATTTGAGGGGGGTGGCGATAACCAACTAAATCTCTGAAGTACAAAGAGTTTCTAAAATGTGGCACAGGGCGAACAGCGCCCCTGTGTGTGTAGAGTGCCTTCAAAGCAGCTGTTATAGCCCGTGCCAACCTGTGGAAGTTCCAAGAATCCCATTTATCTACCCCCCCCCAAAAAAACCCTAGTTAACAGTTTCAGTAATTATTATAGTGAACAAGACAGAACAAAAGGGCCTATTATTAATGGAGTTATTTTTCCTCTTCTTTTTTTCCATTTGAGACTTTTCACTTCAGTTGCCATGGATTTCAGGGTTCTTTTGATTCAGGTTCACAGGTATTAGTGTGTTTTTGTATGAGAGAGTGTTTGTGTGTGCACCTTTTTTTTCTGTTATCCTCCAGAAAGATGTATTTTCAACCAGCAATGAAAAGAACTGTTGTAATGTATCTGAAAAACACAATCTCTAATTGTAATTTTAAATCCCAGACAGACATTTATTCATTTCAATATCTTTTAATACAATTGCCAATTTTTAAAAAGAACAGTTTGATGGGTTTTTATATATTGTGAAAATCGGTGTAATCATAGTAGGTTATGAGTTATTGTGGACAAATAATTGTCTAAAGCAATAACGATTGAGGCAAAGGATTTTTATTATGAAGGTCTGGTATCTGATATTGGAACCTGAGTGCTAACTAGTTCTGGATTCTGCTAAATCATGCCATATATGCAGATATTCATTCATATCTCAAATGCTTTGCAGGATTCAATGCTTAATTTATTCATAGAATTATAAAATTAGAAGGAGCCATTAAGGCCAACAACCTGTTCAATCTTGGAACCCAAATTAAGGCAGCCCAAATAGATTGCTATTCCTCCTCCGCTTGAAGAAATCTAAAGAAGGGGAGTCTCCTCTGGAAATCAGTTTTTCTATTGAACTAACTTTACAATTAGGAATTTTCCTTAACATTCAAATGGAAACTCTTTTCTTTTAAGACCGTTATTCCATGTTCTGCACTCTGGAATGATGGAGAATGAGTCTTGACTTTTGTGTGATGCCCTTTAGGTCTTGAAAAATGCTATTATGCCCCCCCTCATCTTTTGTCAAGGTTAAACTTATCCAGTCGCCCTTGTAAATTTCCAGGCACCTTATCATCTTGTATTCTTCTCTGCACCTCTTCCAATTTCTCATAATATTTTCTTAAAATATGGTATCCAGTAAAGTACATAATAGTCTAGGTGGTGGTCTAACCAACGCAGATTGTAGTGGAGCTATTGTTTATTATTCCTGCTAATATAATCTTATTTTTGTGCAACAATTTCAAGAATAATTACTAGATAAAAGCATCACTGATTTCTGTGGTACTTCATAGAACTGCTGCCTTAAGGCAAACATTATGAATACTTGTTTTATTTCCCATGAGAAAAAAACCAAAAGAGGTATCTTGAACATGAAAAAAATCCAAAATTGTTGGGAGACAATATTAATATCAAATAAGTCTCTTCTCTCCCTATTTTTATAATATCTCACTTGATTAAGTGAATTGTGGAAGTCTTAAAAGTTCACATACATTTGGGGGTTTTGAGTTGGCCTAGTAGGGACCCACTGAACTTCTAAGTAATATGCTTAGAATTATGTTGCTCATTTTAGATCACATATCTCCTGATGTTTCCATTATGATACGTTTTGAGCTTAAAGATAGGAGAAATTTGGTTTTGACCCAAGGGATGCAGAGTTTTCTGGTCAGTAGACTCAATCTGGAAATATTAGAAATATTTTTGTTGTTGTTCAGTTGTTAAGTCGTGTCCAACTCTTCGTGACCCCATGAACCATATCGCGCCAGGCCTTCCTGTCCTTCTCTGCCTCCCTGAGTTTGCTCAGTTTCATGCTCAATTAGAAATACTGTATACTTCATTAAAAAGACTGAAAGCTGTTTCCCACATATCTCATCCTCTGGTTTTCAATACAGATGTTTGATAGTGGAGATTTCTTTCAGAGCACCTGGAACCCTGTCCTGGCTTACTACTTTCAGAAACTTATACCAGACAAAAGAAATTGGTAGCTGTTCTCCCAAATAAGTGGTGAAAAGGGGACCGTTTATGAACAAGTATATCTTTTATTAATATAATGGATCTTAGTGGATTTAGATCTGGTTGAAAAAAAGAGTTCTTTGGTTCGACAGCTGGTTTAGCTTTCGGTGACTTTAAGAAATAGGAAGGGAGTTACTTAAATATTAAATTGGTGAATTCCCATTATCCTATTTAGCAAACTGTCTACTAAAACAATTTTAGTATTCTTTAAAACCATAAACCTTAAAGTATATTCAGTTTGAGTCTCATTCTTTATTTACTCAGAAGTGATTCCATGCATTTTAACCAGAATTTCCTTAAATAAATATTCTTAGAATTTTAGCTTTAATCTGAGATGTTTATTATGCCCTTTGAACACCATTTGAAAACAGAATTTCTGGAGTAGGCAATCTGATAGCCTCCATGCATTTTAGATTTTTAGATTAAAACTCTCTTGCCATTGGTCATGCTGGCTAGCATTGATTGAGTTGAAACTAAAATTTCTGGGGAGTAGCTCTTCCTATCCCTGCGTGATATAAAATATGGTTAGCATTTATCTGTAGTGTACTCCATTTGTTCTAGCATATAAGTGATTGTAACATAGCAAAGGGAATAAACTAAAATTCAAAAATTTAATGTTACTGCTTATAGAAAGATGAAAAAATACTACTGAAGCTACATTTAGCAATAACTAAATGGTAATGTAGTTTTCCGCAGTCAGATAAATCCAGGTATGATGAGAATGTTAATGTTTTGGGCCATATTGTGTTTTGAGAACTGGAGAATTATTTCTGTTGATGACAGAAAACATGGCCTTGAGGATATAGTAATAAAAATAAAACAGTGAGATAGATATGGATAAGGATTTATTGTACCTTCAAGCATATTCAGACTGCATACTTCTACAGCTGACTTCAACTATCTTCAAAAAAGTGTTATTTATATTACATACTTCATGATCCAGTTATGTATTCCAGAATTTCAACTCTAACTTCTGTACTACCCCAAAAGTTATTGATGACTCCAATGTGTAAGTTGAACTTATTTCCTAATTTTAAAACTGAAAAAGGTAAATATCAAGTATGTAGGCTTCAGCTGTAGGAGTAGCTTAGGTAAATGAATTAATTTGGATATGGATAAAGAAATCTTGGCTATGGACTAACTGAAGCTGAAGACATGTTTTGACTTTGAGATAGTTTTCAATTGTGATGCATATTATCCTTATTTGGAAGCAAGTTCAATTCACACACATGAGTTGTTATTTATAAGCCTTTGAGTTCCCTATGCTTAGAGGAGAATAATAGACAGAGCAATAAATTCAAGTTTTGTCCTAAACTTCAGGAGTTAAGAAGTGGGCAATGCTTAAATGTATTATAGCATAAGCTATAATAAATGTGTTAGTATTTTAAAATCCACAGAACTCTTTATTCTTGTGCCACAGACTAAACACTGCCACCCTTCTGGTTTGTACCTAGTTTAAAGGAATAGTCTTTCAAGTCAAACCAGACTCCTGGTGACTTCATGAAAATGTCCATGCAATTTACTTAGTAACAGCATGGACATGGTTTGCTATTGCTACCTTTTACGATTTTTTAAAATTTACATTAATTAATTTATAGCCCTAAAATTCCCTGATAGTCTCCCATCCAAGTACAAAGGAGGGCCAACTCTGCTTAGCTTCTGAGCCCAGACAAGGTTACCTAAATACTGCTACATTCAGTTATCAGATATTATTTTTATATTTATATGTAAAAAGTACTGTTCCTGGTTTAAGAATAATCCTAATAATTAAGAGAGTATTTATGACAAAAAGACCATAATATGGTATTACCTGCCAAGTAGTGGCAAAGGCATAACAATAGTGGATTGTTTTCGATTCTTGTTAATGTATATGCTTTCTGATTATCAGAGTTATAAACTTATATCCAGTAGTAGAAAAGGTGATATTAACCAAGAACATTAGTAATGGATGAATGGATACTACCGGGATACAACAAATGGATAAATGTATAACATACAGGAAGAATGTGTATTTGCTTTCAGGAAACCTTAAATTAAGTCCCCAGAATGAGTAGTTTGGTCTAAAATTTGAAAATTCCTACCACGCATTATGGATTAGGGATCAGTAGTATGGTGGCCACCAGTGCTAAGGTATCCACAAGACTTCTAAGTGGCTACACATCTACACAATGTAACTGCCACCATCTCATTATGGAAATTGTTGGTCCCTGGGCTATTGTAATATAATACCTTATATTACAATATTTCTGGCCCTTGTTGGAAGCAATACAGTGACAGTTATTTGAAGGTTGCACACAGAGTCCAATTCTAATCAGAATATTTGGTACTGATCAGTAGAGAAACATTCCAGAATCTGGAACTATCATACGTCATGAAAATCCAGAAATAGCATAAGAAAAAACTAATGTCACATCAAAAGAACCTGGGGCTATGATAGGCACATTTTGTATTTGAAAGGTTTTTGGCATAGTAAGAGTGAAGTTTTATCATTGATTCTTTTCAGCATAGAGTCTTTGCAGTATGCACAAAATAGCCGAGCAGTATTAGGTCTTGTACATGGTTGGAAAGGATTGCAGAAACAATTCCCAAATCTGCTTTTGAGTTTGAGCAAAATGAAATGAAATTTGTTATATGTTAATATGTTTGTTATATGTTAAGTTATCCAGAACTTATGGAGTGGAACAGAACTTGATCCTCAGTTTGCTCCCTTCCCACCAACTTTGTAATATTCTCTTCCAAAGTGTTATAAAACGTTTTGCTTATGTACTTGTTCCTTTCAGAGTTGATTCAGGCAGTACTATTGATATAATGATTGTGGGGCCTTTGAGGAGGAAAAATAGAGGAAAAAAGGTATATGCTATTAATGGTCTTAGTAACCTATATAGTTTAATATAGGGAGATGAGGGTTATCTGCTACATCTGCTCATGTGAAATTGCCAAAAAAGATTTCCCTTGTGAGAACTGCAATCTTCTGCTTTAACTACACTGTCAGAAGCATTTTCCCTGCATATTAAAAAAAAGGAAAACTAAATATTGCCAAAGATGTAGTGATTTTAGGTATGAGTTGTATACTGTCCCCAGAACTACTTGTCTATTCACTGTGTTCTGGCAAATATAGATTATTTCTCCTATTTCCTATTTAAATAACAATTCATTTCTTGCTGAAATCGTTGTTGGATGTGATGCCAGAGACAGAGAAGCCAAAACACAGTAAAGTAATATCTTTTTATTGAACCTGTCTGGTTTGAGATGATATTCTAAAGATGTTGATGTGATTATTTTATAATGACTTAGAATAAGATATGGTCTAAGAGAAGTTCTGTTGCATAGGGAGAGTGCAAAATAGAATAGGAGAAGGCAGACCTTGGGAGGGTTTTTTTTATAGGAAAAGGTACAGATGCATTTCGTTATCCTTGTTTGAAAGGTTTCCTTACAATTGGTCATACCTTTTCAAGTTAGCAATACAAAATTGCTTTTTAGAAAACAAGCAAGCAAAATGTTCACTCTTTTTAACTGCCTGCTGCTATTTATTTGTTTCTGTAACCTACAATTTCTACAACAAATTGCACTTAAGTCAATGAACAGAGTAGAGATGTTTGTGGAAAGATACTGCTGAGTAAGCCTAAATCAATAAAATAGTTATCAAAGTGGTCCAAAACTAAACCAGTTTTAAAATCCTAAAAGCCAACCGCTGGTTATAGAATGTGTCAAAATTGCACTATTTAAGTTGAAGTGAGCAGTTAGTGCACAGTCTTCAGGACAGGTGACTTACAAAGGTTTTAGTTTCTAAGTTTTAGAGGAAAAGTTGATTGTGTGGAGCACATTGGAGCATGATGCTCAAAAGGAAATCCCATGGAAGTTCAGTGAGACTCTTTTTTATTAAGTAAGCCAACTGTAGGAACTCAGTGTTAGAATGCCTACTTTTAGTTTATATAAAAAGTTATATTTCATATAATTAGGCATTCAACACAGTACCCAAGTCTGTTTAGGGTTTTAAAAGCTAACTCATCTCACAGATCTAATCATTTTGAAGTATATGAAAAGGGCTGTAGTCAGTGGTGCCTGTGCCTTAGAGGAAAGAGTTATGTTTGTTCAAGTTAGGGGACCCAGTTTTCA